GCATAATATAATAATAAATATATGTATTAAAGAGAATTTTAATATAAAAAAATAAACGGGCGTATTAGCAAGAGCTGTGTTTTAGAGATTTGATTACAAATTAAGAAATAAATTGATTCAAAACTAAACTATGGACTAGTCTATAGACAGTTCTATGCACTAGACCATTTACTAGTCTATAGACAGGAATATTGACTAATCTATTACCCATTCTATGGGCTAGTCTATTGACCTTTCTGTTGACATGTCTATTAACTAATCATAGTCTATTGCCCAGTCTATGGACTAATCTAAAAACTAGCCCATTGACAGATCTATTAACTAGTCTATTGAGAACTGAATTGTATATAGAATAGTCCAAAGACTAGTCTATTGACTAGTTTGTGGACTAGTCTTTTAACTAGTCTAGACAGGACTATTAACTAGTCTATTGACTAGACCATTTTCTATTGACTACCCTATTGCTTAGTCTATGAACTGATCTATTGACTAGTCTATTGGCTGTCTATGGACTGTTCTATGGACTTGTCTATGGACTAATCTAATAAGTAGTATATCGAATGGTCTATTAGCTAATCTGTTGACAAATATATTGAATAGACTATTGACTTGTCTGTTGACAAGTCAGCTGACTTTTCTATTAAATAGTCTGTAGACTAGTCTATAAACAGTTCTATGCACTAGACCATTCACTAGTCTATAGACAGGAATATTGACTAATCTATTACCCATTCTATGGGCTAGTCTATTGACCTTTCTGTTGACATGTCTATTAACTAATCATAGTCTATTGGCCAGTCTATGAACTAATCTAAAAACTAGCCCATTGACAGATCTATTAACTAGTCTATTGATAACTGAATTGTATATAGAATAGTCCGAAGACTAGTCTATTGACTAGTTTGTGGACTAGTCTTTAAACTAGTCTAGACAGGACTATTAACTAGTCTATTGACTAGACCATTGTCTATTGACTACCCTATAGCTTAGTCTATGAACTGATCTATTGACTAGTCTTATAACATGTCTATGGACTGTTCTATGGACTGGTCTATGGACTAATCTAATAAGTAGTATATCGAATGGTCTATTAGCTAATCTGTTGACAAATATTTTGAATTGACTATTGACTTGTCTGTTGACAAGTCAGCTGACTTTTCTATTAAGTAGTCTGTAGGCTAGTCTATGTAATAGTCTATCGGCTAGACTATGGACTAGTCCATAGTCTATGGACTAATCTAATAAGTAGTATATCGAATGGTCTATTAGCTAATCTGTTGACAAATATATTGAATAGACTATTGACTTGTCTGTTGACAAGTCAGCTGACTTTTCTATTAAATAGTCTGTAGACTAGTCTATGTAATAGTCTATCGGCTAGACTATGGACTAGTTCATTGACTGGTCTATAGTCTAGTTTAATATATTGAATAGACTATTGACTTGTCTGTTGACAAGTCTGTAGACTAGTCTATGGAATAGTCTATCGACTAGACGTTGGACTAGTTTATGTACAGGCCTATGGTCTAGTTTATTGACGAAACAATGAAATACTGAGAAAACGTTTATAATCTAGGATATGAACTATTCTCTTGACTAGTCTATGGGTTAGTCTAGTCTTGACTCTCGACAAATATATTGACTAGACTGTTGAAAAGCCAACAGACTTGTCTATTGATAAGTTTATTGAATATTGAATCCATATGTTAGTCTATAGATTTAAGAATTGACTAGTATTTTAACTAGTCTAGTGAATAGTCTATAGACTAATCTATAGACTAATCTATAGACTAGTCTATGGACATGTAGGGTAGAAGGGGGAACATACGCCATAGGGGCACATCTGCCAATAGCGAATAATTTGAAAACTGAGTAATCGATTTTATCGCATTATCAAATTTTGTTTTCGTTTATCGATTATCTATCATCCCTGAAAATTTGAAACATTAACTTTACATATGATGGGAGGCAGACACGATTAATTGTTTTTGAAAGGGCTGTGAAAATATTTCACTGTGTGAACTTTTTGTGCTAACTTTTTTAGTTTTTGTGATAGAAAAAATATATTGGTCAGTATTAGAATCTCAATAATAGTGAACAATAAGACATAATAATATTTTCGATAATATAATTTGAAGCCCGAAAAAAATTGAAACTAAACCCCAGAACTGCCCGTGGGGCACATGCGCCAAATATATGTAATGCTTGTGATGTAGAACAAAATTTGGTTAAAATATAGAAAAAATCAGTAATAATTTGTTTTAATTTTTTTTCTTAAGTTTTATTAAATAAACAATAAATATCTGGTTTATTATACTTTGTTTAATGAATTAAAGTATAAAACAGCAAAATAAGTTTTTATTTTTTAAATTTTTTGGTTGATTTTACTAATGACAAATCTGCCCCATCCTCTTGGCGTATTTACCCCATGGATGGGGCGGTATCGCCGTTTTTGGTCAGTTCAGAAAAGTTAAAAAAATATGTACATTAGGATGACTTAGGAAAGATTGAAAGGGATAAAACTAAAGCCAACATATCTAAGTATCCGATCAAAGAAAAGAATAAAGAATATGTATTGTGGTTTTAATTTGAGGCCGCCTCAAAAAAAAAAGTGGCGTATGGTCCCCCTTCTACCCTATATTGACTGGTCTATTAAATAGTCTATGAACTATATTATGGACTAGTCTATCAACTAGTCCATAGATGATTCATAGACTATTCTATTGACTAGTCAATAGACAAATATATTGATTAGTCTTTTGCCAGTCCATAGACAAGTCTGTAGACTATTCTACTGAATAGTCTATTGGCGAGTCCATTGTCTTGTCTATTTCCCAGTCTATGGACTAATCTGCTGACTTATCTATTGAATAGTCTAGTGACTAGTGCATTGACTAACCTATGGATATTTTTATTGACTGGTCTATTAAATAGTTTTTTAACTAGTCTATGGACTAAACTATTAACAAGTCTATTGAATACCCTATGAGTTAGTCTACTGATTTATCTATTGGCTAGACTACAGTTTTCTCAATTGACTTGTCTACTGACCAGACTGTTTACTGGTCTATGGACTAGCCTTAAGTCTAAAGATAATTGCTTTGAGATTTAAGACACTGTAGTCAAAAACGGCCTGAAAAATATAGAAGAGTTCATCTTCTACTGTTATCCATCTCTGAATAAACGAATGACTCTTCCAAAAGAACACTAAGCACTTCTAAGATGTGCTTAGAAGAATCGTGATAGGTTTGTAAAGAAACTCAAGAATTTCGAGTTCTATCATAACAAAAAAGGCACCACAATATCCGATCGAGACAATGCTGACGTGCAAAATCTTTATTAACAAACTTCACGCAAAACAATTCCATACACACAAATTTTGATAACAAATTCCATAAAATAAAAAACATTAAAAATTCCATAACTTACCATGAAAATAAAATAGCCACTATAGCTATACTGGTGGCACAGGTCGGATAACTTGATAGAAAGAGACCATGTTTATAGTAAATATGTGAGACAGCTGCCGGTAAACCAGAGGCAGATGATGAAGATGATGACGAAGATGTTTTCGTTTTATGAGAAGAATTTACAGCCGGTGTTGAGGAACTTGACGAGGATGATGACGAAGAAACCGATGAGGAGTATGTATTAGAGGTGGAGTGTGGAACTGCACCTTTAATGGAGGAATTTCCGGTAGCATGTTCCGAAATAGACATGACGTTACTTTCCTGTGTAGGGTTCGTTTTTTTTTTTTTTTTTTTTCTTATAGGTATTGTTTAAAAATAGGAAGGCAGCAGGCAGGCAAACACTCGTAAACAGTGAGCCGTTAAAGAGAACAGCAAATATAAAATAGGTATAAATAGCAACAATAAATTAACAAAACGATTGCAAAAAAATGTCAAAAAAAATTGCGTTATGTATGCCCCACGTATTTTTTAAACAGATTTCTTTTAATGAGTTTTTTTAGCTTTTTAAAAAAGCCAAAACAATTTTCAGCAGAAAAACCAAATGCAATTTTGTTTGTTGAATTTGTGTTGTTCTCAAATTAAGTTTTTGCTGTTATTGTAGTTGTTTTTATAGGAAATCATGACGTTATTTAGCTGTTAATTTTATTTTTAAACATTGTATTTATTTTTTTATATATAAAATTCTTTAAATTTGTTTATTTTCAATTGGATTTTATTTGAAATCATTACACTTTTTGTTTTATTTGTAACACCCTGTTTAAGGGTTAATAAAAGGGGTGGTAATTATTATTATTTGTTATTGTTTTGATTTTTGTTTTGCTTTTGGTGTTGTTTGCGGTACTTTGTTTTTGTGTAGATAGGTGTTGTTAGTGTGTTTGTAATACACCTTCGTAGGTGTTTAGAAACCAAAAAAAGAAACTAAAACAATTTTGACACTTGTCACTATTGTTATTATTTTTTTAATATTCTTTATGAATTTTTAAACGATTCCTATTTAGAATCTATACATTTCCTCTATATTTTTTTTTCAACCACAATTATTAATGATAATTAGATGCGTTTTTTATACACGTTATTAAAACGTACTAAAGACGCGCGCAATAAGCGATAATTATTTGCATTTATCAATTTTTATTTATTATGTACAATATTATTTTTTAAATGACGTTTGTTGTTGATTTTGGTTGTTGTTGTTTTTCTTATTTATTTTTTTCTTTTTTTGGCTTTTGCTCTTTAATTTCATTACTTTTTACTGCATTAATTGTTTAGGTAAAAAACACAGACACTATAGTAAATGTAGTTTTTTTAGAGCCATAAACGGCAAAAGAATTTTCTAACTTGCTGCCACGCTTACAAAAACATAATATTATTCTTATTTTTTCACTTCTTATTTAAATAAAAACTTTTACATTTAATTTTTTTATAATTTATTTTGGGAAATTTTAGTATAACAGCTTATTATTAAGTTTTTCACTGTTAAAATTTTTCATTAAAAAATTTTGCACGTTTTTTTCATTCATTCATTTGCACTTTTTATATTATTTTTAAAACTTTGTTTTCATATAATTAACTAACATCAACAATTGTTTTATATTTTCTTTATTAATATTTATAAATTTCTTTAAAAAAAGTATTTTTCCTTTAATTAAAATCTGTTTTTTTGTTACGTTAAAAATTATTTTGTTCTATTCTTATTACTGCGTGTTTTTGCGTATAAATTTGTTAAAGAAATGACAAGCTAACAACAGAGCCCTGCGCCGACAAATATTAACGGCGGCGGCGACTGACACTAAATATGTCGGCGGCGGCTTAAAATCGACTGTAAGCCGGCTAAGTTTTCAACTACGTTTAGTTTTTAATTTTTCAACGATTTTAAATAAAAACGGAATCCGAGAGATAAGACAGTAGGATTTTGGAAGCAAATATATTGTTTATGACAACAAAACAGAGCAAACTCAAAAGTTGCATGAGAAATTATGCAGGGATGAATAAAAAATTCTTAAAAATTAAAAACAAATCCTTTCTCCAAGTTTGACTAGGATCTGCCGATATTTAACCCTATCTTCCATATAAAACATCTTGCAGAAAATCAGTTTCTAAAAAATTTTGCATTAAGAAAATGATCAATAACGTAAAAACAAAGATATTTTATTTGTTTATTTACTAGCTATACCCAGTGTGCTGTGCTTACCCTAAAAGCAATATAAATAAGAAACCTACTTAACAATTTTGATGATTCTAACTACAATGGTTTTCCAGATATACAATTTGTTAAATGTGGGAGATTCCACGCAAATTATTGCAATTTCGCCAATTATTCCGAACGTTAATTAAGATTTTAATTTAATCTATGAAAAATTTCAATAATCTAATAGTTTCCAGATATACAAAATTTTGTATTTAATTCATATGGGAAGTGCCAAGCCCCCCATTGAAAGTCCGCCCGTTATTCTCTAAATGTTCTTGAGTAAAATTTGAAGAATTTAGTTATATTAGTTTCCCAGATAAACGAATTTTTGTATTTAATTCATATGGGAGGTTCCGCTCCCCTCATTGGTAGTCCCCCAGTTTATTACCCAAAATGTTTACATGGATGTTAAAGTTCTTCCAGAACAACATCATTTAAAGGGATCACAAAGAGATTGAAAAATATTCCAAAAGTTTCACTTTGAAAACATTATTAGAATGTATGAAAACTCGCAACTCTAAAGGAAGACTATTCCTATTTTAGTGGTATTTTATGACTAAAATAAGTAAGGCAAATCATATATCGTAAAAAAGCAAATTTCGGAAGTGGTCCGATCATTAGATTAATAAGAACGTCACCGTGATTTTCGGATTAGGGACTTAAATGTGGAATTGGATCAATAATATATATAATTTAAAGTATTTTTTTTTAATTCTACCATAATTCTATCATAATGATAACTTTTGGAATGATGTATTAGCTATAAACTGATTTTCTGTAAGAGGGTTATATTGGCGGACCGATCCTCAAAATTTTATTTTTCATAAATGTAGGTTTCGGTTCCTAAAAATGTTTTTTTCTTCGACATCGACATTTGAAAGCCATTTATGTGCGTTTAAGTCATTTTCTGAAGAAGATTTCATGTACATATTTACATTACATATTTTCGTTCCAACAAAGTACGTAGAAAACGTTAAAATCAATTATTGAAGGGGGCAGGTTCAATTATGGCCTATAGAGATTTCGATTGATATCGAGCCCTTTTTGCAAAATGGACGTAAGCGAGAAAAATTTTCGTTCAATTAGGATACTGCGTGTTTAATTTTATGTTTACATATTCAATATTTTAGAAAATTCAAAAAGTACCAGTTAAAGAACGAAAAATTACCAGAAATACTCCAGTTTAAATTTTCATTCACTCAAGTCCCTGATTGCTTAGTTTTATGTTTTTAGGCTCATTATAATAGAAAATTCAAATAGAAAATTCAATAGTAGTTGAAGAACGAAAAAGTACCAAAAAGTCCCGTTTTATATGTTCTAACTTACTCCATGCCCTACAGGTTTAATTTCATGTCTATAGGTTCAATATTATAAAAAATTCAAAAAGTACCAGTCGAAGAACGAAAAAGTACCAAAAAGTCACCTTTTATATGTTATCACTTAATCCGGGCTGTACATTCTTAATTTCATGTTTCTAGGTTCAATATTATAAAAAATTCAAAAAGTACCAGTCGAATAACGAAAAAGTACTAAAAAGTCCCTTTTTATAGATTACTCCGGGCTCTACATATTTATTTTTATGTTTCTATGTTTAATTTTATGTAAAACTCAAAAAGTACCAGTCGAAGTACGATAAAGTTCCCCTTTTATAGATTCTCATTTACTCCAGGCTCTAAGTGCTTAATTTCATGTTTCGAGGTTCAAATTTTGTAGCAAGCTCAAAAAGTACCAGTCAAAGAACAAAAAAGTACCAAAAAGTGCCATTTTATAGATTCTCATTTACTCCGGGCTCTACGTGCATAATTTCATGTTTCTATGTTCAATTTAATAGAAAACTCAAAAAGTACCTTTTGAAGAACGAAAAAGTACCAAAAAGTCCCGTTTTATAAGACCTCACTTAATCCGGGCTCTACATGCTTAATTTCACGTTTCTAGGTTCATTATTATACAAAAACTTAAAATGTATCTTTTGAAGAACCAGGTTCTCACTTAATCGGGGCTCTACATGCTTTCCTGTTTCTAGGTTTAATATTATAGAAAATTCAAAAAGTTCCTTTTGAAGAACGAAAAAGTACCAAAAAGTCCACTTTTATAGATTCTCAAGTGCTTAATTTCATGTTTCTAAGTTCTAAGTCAAAAAGTACCAATCGAAGTACGATAAAGTACCAATAAGTCCCATTTTATAGATTCTCATTTACTCCGGACTCTACTGGCTTAATTTCATGTTTCTAGGTTAAATTTTATAGAAAACTCAAAAAGTACCTTTGCAGAACGAAAAAGTTTCGAAAAGTCCCTTAATTATTAATTTCATGTTTCGATTTCAATATCATAGAAAACTCAAAAAGTACCAGTTGGAGAATGAAAAAGTACCAAAAAATATCACTTGGTACCGGTGTTCCAAATAACATCCCATTAGCATATTTAGTGTTTCTTGAATGAAATCAAATTTCCCGTTTTTACCCCTTTTGGTACTTTTTTCCTCCCCATTAACGAAATAAAAATTCTTTTCCAAAAAGTTGCAACATCATATTGGGAGCCCGTTATTATATGTATAAGTTAATAAACCAAAAACAATGTTTTATAAAAAAGTACCAAAAATAGGTACAATTTTCACCCCTTAAACGTCCGAATATCCAAAAAGTACTATATTTTTATTCGTCAAGTTATGAAGGATTTAAACATATTTTTTGAATATTCTCTGGTTTAAAAGATACATGGGGTGCAAAAGAAGTATCAAATTACAGTTTTTACCCGTTTATTCCCCAAAGGGGCCGAATTTGAAAAAATTACCGGACACATGTCCGCTTTTTTTTAAATGAACGACGATAAGCTTTAACTGTTTTTGTAACTTTTCTAGTTTAGGAGATTTGAGGTTACCGAATTTACGTTTTTACCCTTTTTACCCATATACATCGAACGTTGAGCAAAGTTCTACACCGGCCAAATTTCAATGAGCGGCTTATTATTAGATAAAAGAAAACTTGCTTAAATGAAAACAAATTAATTTTATATTGTAAAATTCCACAAATTTAGCGAAAGTATTCTGTAAATTGTACAAAATATGGCGAAATTTTCAAGCCGTATTAAGCTGAAAAATTTTCGGCGGCGGCGGCTTTGACATTTTGTTCGGCGGCTAGGCTTAGTCGGCTTAAGAAGCCGAATCGGCGCAAGTCTCTGCAAGCTAATCAGATATTTTAATTTCCCTAGAGGAAAAAAATTTCCCTTTAGCATATTCTTGAGCAGCTGTCAATTTTTGTATATTGTATGTAGGTGTAACAGAGATAGCAAGTCATTTGTTTTGGGATTTTTTTAGTTGTTTTAATGTTAGGGGTTGCCAAATCTAGTGAATAATATACTGTAATATTTAGAGTTGCATGTAGCAATGTTTATTTGGTAGATAATACAGTTTTCAAATACAAAAGCAAACATTTAAATATTTGTTTAAATGTATTAAAAAATTATAGAATTTTATTATTAATATTGTTTATTACTAGAGGATTAACAATATATTACTTTAAAATAAGTTTTTTCTGAAAAATGTTGCATTACATGGTAAGTAAAACTACTGCATTACCGACATGAATTCCGTTAAGCCCATACTAATTACAGTAGGAGAATTTCAAATTAAATTAAATTTGCAATCTATAGAAACACATTACATTTACTTGAGTAATTAAATGTTGATTAATCGAGTTTTATCTTCGATATACAAATTTAAATATTAAGTACTTTAAAAATAAGGTGTTCCTGGCGAAAAATGGAAAAAATTTTACTTTTTTAATGGTATTTTCAACGAGGAAAGATGTTATTCTAGTTTATCATCCTTCAAATCGTATCTCTTTTTATATTTAACAATATTAATATTTATTAAATAAAGAGGAAAATTTTTGGTACTTTTTCGTAATGGTACTTATTTGAGTTTTCTATAATATTGAACCAACAAACATTAATTAGCATACCCTGTATGCTGAGTGAATGAAAATCTATTCGAGGACAATATCTGGTACTTATTAGATCTACTAATAGGTTATATTATTTTCTCTAATATGGTAGGAAAAGAACCTGAGAATCTATACATAAAAGGAAACTACTTAATACTTTTTATAAAATAGGACTTATTCTTTTACTGTTTATACCCTTTACCCTATATAAGTACATTCCAAATCCTTATACATAGCGGAGTAGCTTTAGCCATGTCCGTCCGTCTGTCTGTCCGTATATAAGTTGTAATCAATTTTCAGTAGATCTCAGATATCTGCGTCATCCAAATCTTCGATAATTCTATCAGGCGTGACTTCAAGAAGTTTTCCACTTAAAATCAGCAAAACTGCAATATGCATGATAATGAAGTTGCAAACGAACTAGTTTGATTAGGTTCGAACCTTGACATAGATTATAAGGATAAAAAAGTGAAACCACATATCAGTCACTATTGATTTTAGTAGAATGGATTACAAAATATCAAGGACCTTATGGCCAACAGTTGATGAAAAGGCTACTAAGATTCTTCTAGGACTGGATAGGCGATGTCTAAAGATTCTGACATTCTTAACGAGGTACTGTTCAATTAGGGACTTAGTAAGTGGGATGTGGCCTCCGGTAGGTTAGTGGTTAGTGTTCTAGTCTGGTAGACCGGAGGTGGTGGGTTCGATTCCCACCTGAGGCACTGGTTAAGGAGCGCACAACAGGCCCGATAGAGGCCTAGGTGTATTTCTTCGGATTTGATGTATATACATCCTCCTTTCAAATTAACTAACTAACTAGTAAGTGAGATAGTAATATACCGAACTATTGCAGGATATGCGAAGATGCGGAGGAACTATTGATATACAGAATCTCAGGATGAAATTCCTGGGAAATATGTTCCACGAGGAACAGACTAGGTTTTATCGGGGGAATTTGTTACATCTTCTTTCAGAATTCTTTATTGTGGAATCGATTCGATTCCCCCTTAAGAATTGGCTATTTTTACTCGTCTCTTTTCTTTTTGTTTACTTTTAGTGTTGTGTTTCTCTATCTTTAGATCTTCACACTATACGAAGGGAATCACAATGGACCCTATGGTCTCCGACCTCCACCGTGAATGGCCCTTCTTCTATTACTGAGAAAAACTTCTCTGAAAACGAAACTTTTTTGTAAATTCTGGATGAATCGCTTTCAGAGATCTCAGAGGAAGCAATAATATTTCTTCTTATAATTTTTCTGATTTTTATTTAATTATTTATATATAAAACTATATACTCGTTATATATACCTAAATAACAATTGTTTTTAAACTAAATACACTACAAATATGTTTAAATTATATTTTTTTATTAATAATTTAATTTTTTCTCTTTCTTGTCTTCTCTTGCTTTTAATTTAACAAAAAACCAAAAAAAAAAGTTGTTAAAACTTTAGAATATACTTGAGTTTTAATTATATTTTCTTTAAAGATTTATTAGTATTTATATTATTTTAAATTTTTGGTTAAAATATGTGTTTTTATTGTAATTTGTATATTTTATTGTAATCACATGTTTTATATTTTTAATTTTATTTTTTTTTTTCATTTATTATATTGTTTATTTAATGTTTTATAGGTTTTTTTAATTTTTATATAAAAAGGAGAATTTTTAAGCCATGAGTTTTTTAACAGCGTTTTTAATAAATTTTATTTGATTTTATTATAATTTTTCTTTTAACAATTTTACAATAGTAGTATAAAAAAAAACTATTACAACCAAAGAAAAAGTTAACACAAAAAAGAAGGAAGGAAATAAATAAATTATTTAAAAACTTTGTTGTTGTTTTTAATGTTTTTGTTTAGGAGTTTTTGTTATATTACATTTTACTGTTAATCCGACCGATTTATATAGATTTAACTAGAAACAGAGTTAACAATTTAAAATTGTATTGCACCTTTTGTCCTTGTCTATTAAGGGAAACGGGATAAATGACAACATCATAAAAATAATTTTAAATTGAGCAAATATTTATATAATTTTCTATATTTTAAAAACTTTAAAATTAGTTATAACGATTCAGAATAGATTCCAAAAATGAAGGAGTTCCTTGGGAACTTCCTATTGTAACTTCAAAGAACTGAAACACTTGACAGATCTTAAATAACAACATTAGAATATACTAATCGACCTCATTATTGCAACTTTAGAAGACAAATGAGGATGAGGAATCCGTGTCCTGCTCGACTTTACAAGTGTCCTGCATGACTTGGGGGATCTCTCTGACGTTGATGATAGATAGATAGTTTCCTTCATCCTTGTCACACGTTGGATTATTACGTTACCTATCATGTCAACTCGGTAGATCGCGGTTTTGATCCGTTTGGGTATCACAACGGCACCTATACTAGGCCCAATTGAGTCAGCTTCTAAAACCTAACCTAACCTTAAAATAAAAAAAGTAGCTTATTGTTTTAGTTATAAAATACTTCTAAAATGCTGATTTCAGAACTGTTTTGTAGTTTGCTCTACAAAGCTTCTACAGAACCCTAGACGAAGGAATACAAGTTATATAATGAAATAATTTAGAAATTTGTTTAAAAAACAATAGTTCCAGAACTACTTGAGATTCTTGAATAACAACCTTTATATAAGAGATGTCATCGAAATATATATGAAACTTGTTCTTCTAAACTGTTTTGAAAGTGATAATTTCGAACTAAAATAATTAATCAAAAACTGGTTTCAGAATCGTTTTGTAGAACAAAAGTTTTATCTATAACAGTTTTATAATTTATTCTATAAACTTTAGTTCCAGCTAAAATATATGGAACTTGTTCTGCGGAACATTTATATGATTCTAAAGCTCTTCTAAAGAGTTTTCAAGGAATCAGTTCTTTGCCTATGTTTTGAAGGTGATAATTTCGAACTAAAATCATTAAACAAAAAACTGGTTTCAGAACCGGTTTGTAGAACGAATGTTGACTATATAATGAATCTACAAAAGTTTTAGAATTTTATCTATAAACTCTAGTTCCAGAACGAGTACAAAGAGAACCACTTGAGAGTCTTATAGTAAGAGATGTTGTCATTATATAGAACTTGTTCTGGAAAACATTTTGGTTCTAAAGTATTTCCAAAAATGTTTTCAAGGAATCAGTTTTTTGAAAGAGTATCCAAGGAATTAGTTATTTCACACTGTTCTGAAGTTGATAGTTTCGAACTGAAGTCATGGATCAAGTTAAAATTTGAGACGTATAACGTCGTGCAAAGACAACTTTATTTATAAAATACATTATGTCATCCGAAAGCCCAATCTGTGAACTTTAAAATAAGGTTTTAACCTCTGTTGTATCTTCTTCTTTCTTCGAGATATATTGGAATTTCAGATGATATAACAAACTTTATAAATAATGGTGTTTTCGAGCAGTTATAACGTCTCAAATATGACCAAAATCAGTGTTTTTCCAAACTTCAGTACACAATATCTGATGTGACGAAGACATTTTTATACCAGATTCGGATTTAAAAGAGCTCGATTCTTTAACAATGTATCTATGAATTTCGACTTTTTGTAAAATTTTATTGGCCTGTGTTATCAATGGATACCATTTTGTCAATTACAAAATATTTTAGAAGAAATCGAACATTTTTGAAAAAATCAGTTAAAAACCTCAAAAAAAACTTGGGAACCTTAATCGCTATAGTTCTTATTCAAAAATTTCTGAAAAATTAAAAGTTTTTTGGAAAAATTACATTAAAAACTCAAAAAAATCTTAATCCTTAGTTCTTACTCTTTAAGAATAACTCCTTTTTACGAATATTGACTACTGTTTAGATCGGTCGGACAATAAATACTCTTTGAAATTGCTATAAATACTAATCAATTTTAGTCGTGGGCATTGTATACTCAGCCGTTATGTTAGCATTAGTTGCAGACGTTGTTGAGGCGTCTATGACTTCCATGTCCATGTCGTCGGGCTCTAATATATAGTCGCCTTTAAACCCAGTCTCTACCTTGGCTTCGTGTTCTGTTAATTGTTGTTGTAATTGATGTTGTGGTGAATGATGATGATGATGTTGTTGATAATCTGTTGCATTTGCTGTTTTACGATGTATTAGATTTGTTGTTGTTGTTGCTAATCTCGATCTTTCGTCGGCGAAATATTTTGTTTCACTAATGGCCGGTTGTTGTAGTTGATTTTGATGTAATGTGGTTGTAGTTGAAGTTGTATTTGCTGTTAACTTTGAATATTGTTGTTGTTCATGTTTTTTATTTTGTTGCATATGGTTACGCATTGTTGCTGTACTATATTGAATACTCTTCGGTGTACTAAAAATTAGTACTGTCAGTTTATTTAAAATGGGACAAAGAATTGACTCATGTATCACAGCGGCTATACGATAGTTATCGCCTTGAAAGGGATCCGATTCAGCGGCACATAACATATGATTTAAATTGATGCCAGTCCGCTAAAATAGAGAAATTCGATTCATTGAATCATTACAAATGTTTGTTTTATAAATTGTTTTAGTACTCACTATTGAAAAAAAGTTTAATACTCCAAAATGATATATTAATTGTGTCTCTACACCTATTATTGCCCAATTAAAGTCTTTTATATCTTCCACTTGATAAGCTCCCGTTCTTATAATGTAGACCGGTATTATATACAGCATGGCATGTTGAATCCAATATGTTGCCTGTTCGAAGGGTAATGTTCTGCAGTCGACTTCGGGAAATACGAAAGCCAAAACTGGTCCATTTAAATTGTTCATTTGTATTCTAAATAATGTTATAGTCAATTTATTAGGCTTGGCGGCTAAAAGATATATCTGTAAAAATTACCAAATTTAAATGGTTTATATTTATGCTTTTCAAAATAACACAACTTACTTGCACTAATGTTTGGATATGACAAGGATTTAAAACGAATATCACAGATCTATTTGCCAATTTAAAACCCATTTCTATGCCAAATATGAACGTCATAAATATCAATAGCATTAGACGTGTCGTTGAGTGTGGTTTCTCGAGTTCTTTGGCATCTGGTATTTGTATGGGTTCCATACGTTTCGTAGCCCATTTGATAATGCAAGTGAAGAGAATACAAAATAAAACCGCCTCTATCCAACGTCTACGATCGGTCATGTAATTTTCACATTCCGGTCCCATTGTACGTGGAGTTTCATTTGTTACACCACCAACAGCCCAACTCCAATCCATTGTGTTGCGTCACTGATCCTTGATAAGCTTTTTGTTAATAAATTAATTTTTTTATTTATTTAAGCTCTCAAGGATTTCGTTTAAAAGTCTGCTATAATTTTAACACTAAAAAGGCCTCCAGTTTTTTTTTATTTCTTAAATTTCAGCATAAAAACATGTTATTAATATGACCTGGAAAAAAGAAGAAGAGATTCGAATTATAACTACTATGAAGAGTTCCAAATATGTCTTGATTATTTTAAAATTGTTTATATAATTAGTCTAATATATAGTTCAGATTATTTTCTAGATCATAGTTTAGTCGTAAGTTTATTCTATAGTATATAATCTAGCTTATGGCCTATGTCAGTCTATGGTTTAGTCTCATTTATAATTTAGATTATTTTGTAGTCTATTGTTTAGATTATTAGCTATAATTTAGACTATGGTCTAACCTATAGTTTATACTTAAGTCTATTCTATAGTCTAGTATATGATCTAGGCTCACTTAGACTATAACCTAATATATAGTTAAGTCTATAGTCTTGTCTATAGTTTGTACTATAGTCCAGTCTACAGTTTAGACTATAGTTAAGTCTATAGTCTTGTCTTTATTTGGACCATAGTCTAGTCTATAGTTTAGATTATAGTCTAGTCTATAGTTTAGACTACAGACTAGTCTATAGTTTATACTATAATCAAGTCCATAGTTTAGACTATAGTCTAGTCTATATTTTAGTCTACAGTTAAGACTCTAGTCTAGTTTGTGGTTTATTCTATAGTCTTGTCTATAGTTTAGACTATAGTCTAAACCACGGATTTGCTTCTAGTTTAAACTATAGTTTAGACTATAGTCTATAGTTAAGTCTATAGACTTGTCTATAGTTTAGACTATAGTCCAGTCTACAGTTTAGACTATAGTTAACTCTATAGTCTTGTCTTTGGACCATAGTCTAGTCTATAGTTTAGATTATAGTCTAGTCTATAGTTTAGACTATAGTCTAGTCTATGGTTTAGACTATAATCTAGTCCATAGTTTAGACTATAGTCTAAACTACAGATTTGTTTCTAGTTTAAACTATAGTTTAGACAATAGCCTAGCATATAGTTTAGACTATAGTCTAGTCTATAGTTTAGACTATAGTCTAATCTATAGTCTAGACTATAGTCCAGCTTATGGTTTATTCTATAGTCTTGTCTATAATTTAGTATTGCCTATAGTTTAGTCTAGTCAATAGTTCAGACTATAGTCTAAATTAGTTTATAGACTATAGTCTAGTCTATAGTTTTGACTACAGTCTAGTCTATAGTTTAGACTATAGTCTAGACTAAAGTCTATGGTCTAGCTTATGGTTTATTCTATAGTCTTGTCTATACTTTAGTACTGCCTATAGTATAGTCTAGTCAATAGTTTAGACTATAGTCTAAACTATATATTAGTCTATAGTTTAGATTATAGTCTAGTCTATAGTTTAGACTATAGTCTAGCCTATAGTTTATACTATAGTCTAGTCTATAGTTTATACTATAGTATAGTCCATAGTCTAGGCTATAGTCTATAGTTTAGACTATAGTCTAGCCAATAGTTTAGGCTATAGTCTAGCCTATAGCTTAGACTTAAGTCTAGTCTATAGTTTAGAATATAGTCTAGTCTATAGTTTAGACCATAGTGTAGTCTATAGTTTAGACCATATTATAGTCTATAGTTTAGACCATAGTCTAGTCTATAGTTTAAACTATAGTCTAGTCTATAGTTTAACCTATAGTCTAGTCTATAGTTTAAACTACATTCTAGTCTATAGTTTAACCTATAGTCTAGTCTATAGTTTAGACTATAGTCTAATCTATAGTTTAGACTATAGTCTAGTCTATAGCTTAGACTATAGTCTAGTCTATAGTTTAGACTATAGTTTAGACTATAGTCTAGTCTATTGTTTAGACTGTAGTCTGGTCTATAGTTTACACTATAGTCTAGTTATAATTTAGACTATAGTTAAGACTATAGTTCAGACGAAAATATAATCTATAGCTGAGTATATACTATTTGGGAAATAGGCATATTAATGATTTCATTGCACAAGATTCATAACATGGTAACGGATCTCAAATTAATTTGATAATAAAGAGTTCGATTTTAAGTATCATATTTAAAGTCATGTTTCATGAAGGGTCCAGAATTTATATTAAAATATTAATAATATACCATCGTCATTATCTTTTAAAATGTTCCATGCCAATAAACAGTTAAATTAAGAATTTCCATGTTTATTTATAATATTTAAAATAAATATGTATGTAAAATGCAATATATAGGGTCATTATGGTTGATTTGTTTATCCTCAACAAGCAGAATGATGAAAAAAATAAATCTATTTTCTAATGACCATATACATATATTTATATAAAACGCGAAAAATTATACACATTTAAACAAAACATGCTAAATATACATACATACATACACATATAGTGCATAAAGAAAAGTGTATAACTATGTAAATCGAATTGGTCTTGCCTAATACCATTCTATTTCCTTAAATCTACAGGTAACCAAAATATATTCCAATTTATAAGTTTTTATCAAATGAATTGTTTGCTAACAATATTACAAAGGAAATTTTCGACACACATTGCGCATTTCGTATACAACAACTAACTTTTCGATAGATTTAGTGGTTGTGGCGTTGGTGATGAATTTAAGTTTAAAAGTATTTTATAAACTACTAAATAGTCATGTTTGAATATTGTGGTATAGGTAACTAAGTATTTTTTTTTTGTATTTTTAGGCAATAACTTGTTTGCGCAGGATATTCCATTTAGATAAGTAAGTTCTTAATTTTAAAAGTACAGTTTAAGGTGGATTTTAGGAGTAATAACAGTAATCCTACCATTAGTTTTAGAATTAGAATATTTTAAGGAATTTGTTATCGTAAACAAATATATTTCCATGCATACAAGATTCAAGCTGAGCCAAAGCTCCGAAAACGGAACTTTTACAAGATATGATGCGACAATCACATTGAAAGCCCGGAAACTGAGATATACTGTCGTCTACCTAATTATGAAAAGTCCGATTATTTTTGTATTCTAAGTGAACACCTGCACAACTCTGCTAAATTGGACCAACGGAATCAGATTAATGTAGACCCTGCGGGCGAACAGTAAATAACAGCTATACTTTCTCCGTCATTGCCAGGCATCATCATATCCAAATAACCAAGATCCGAAAAACTGAGTATGCATATGTAAAGGAACCCTCAAAAGGCTCGATGCCGGCCTAGATGCATTTCTTCTGATGACGACAAAAGAAATTTATAAGTATGATGGTACGAATTCTGACTGTATACCCAGGATTACGGACACAACTATACAAAATTGTATGAAGGCATGCAGATGAATGTAGAGCACGTCTAGAGAATTGAAAATATGTGTGTCATTGTCAGACATTTGTTAAAATAGATCTAAATATCTTGGGGGCGATATTATTTCGTGAACCATGATTGGAAAATTCTTAGTATTAACGTCAGAAAATTGAGTTTCTGACCATACCTTCATAGATCAGTATATAAAATCTTTATCACCAACATTTTCACGTAAAGAAGCTTACAACAGGCCCGACAGTAACTTCAGTGTATTTCTTAGGATTTAATAGGATAGAATTGAGAAATCCAAGAACTAAATAGTCTATTAACTAATCCATGAAATATTCTATAAACGAACGCATAATTTAGTCGATGAACCAGTCTAAAGATAATTCTGTGAACCAGTCTTCCTTCTTGTTTGTTGACTTGGTCTTGTCTGTTAAATAGTCTTTTGACTAGTCTATTGATTAGTCTATGAACTAGTACAGTGCCTAGTTTATTCGCTAGTATATGAACTATTATATTGACTAATCTATTGTCTAGTTTGCCGGTTATCATATTGACTAGTCTATGGATTAGACTATTGATTGTTCTATTGTCTAGTTAATAGAATAGTCTATAATTTATTGACTATAGACTATTCTATTAATAAGTTTTCTGACCAGCCAAATCTGACAACTCTATGGACTAGTCTAAGTACTAGGTCTATTGACTATGTAATTGGTCTATTGACAAGTATTCTGGGTAGTCTTTGGATTAGTCTACGTTAATTGACTATGACTAGACTATGACTAGACTATGACTAGACTATGACTAGACTATGACTAGACTATGACTAGACTATGACTAGACTATGACTAGACTATGACTAGACTATGACTAGTCTATGACTATGACTAGACTATGACTAGACTATGACTAGACTATGACTAGACTATGACTAGACTATGACTAGACTATGACTAGACTATGACTAGACTATGACTAGACTATGACTATGACTAGGACTATGACTAGACTATGACTAGACTATGACTAGACTATGACTAGACTATGACTAGACTATGACTAGACTATGACTAGACTATGACTAGACTATGACTATGACTAGACTATGACTAGTCTATGACTATGACTAGACTATGGCTAGACTATGACTAGACTATGACTAGACTATGACTAGACTATGACTAGACTATGACTAGACTATGACTAGACTATGACTAGACTATGACTAGACTATGACTAGACTATGACTAGACTATGACTAGACTATGACTAGACTATGACTAGACTATGACTAGACTATGACTAGACAATGACTAGACTATGACTAGACTATGACTAGACTATGACTAGACTATGACTAAACTATGACTAGACTATGACTAGACTATGGCTAGACTATGACTAGACTATGACTAGACTATGACTAGACTATGACTAGACTATGACTAGTCTATGACTAGACTATGACTAGACTATGACTAGACTATGACTAGACTATACTAGGACTATGACTAGATCTGACTAGACTATGACTAGACTATGACTAGACTATGACTAGACTATGGACTAGACTATGACTAGACTAGGACTAGACTATGACTAGACTATGACTAGACTATGACTAGACTATGACTAGACTATGACTAGACTATGACTAGACTATGACTAGACTATGACTAGACTATGACTTAGACTATGACTAGACTATGACTAGACTATGACTAGACTATGACTAGACTATGACTAGACTATGAACTAGACTATGACTAGACTATGACTAGACTATGACTAGACTATGACTAGACTAATGAACTAGACTAT